CTCCCTTAACCAGAACTCCTAAATCTTTTTCCCCAATCCGTAATTTAAGATCTAATTTTTTTGTTTATTTGGGGCCCTTGGTTTTTGCCCTGCCCAAAAACATTTAGAACTTTCATTTTTTCTATTTTTAAACTGAAAATCTGCCCACTTCCCAAACCCTGCACCCCTTTTTTTTCAAATTTTTCCGGGAAACCGTGCTCGAATGTCTCGTCAGAATGAATTCGAGGGCCCCCCCTTTTTTGGGTGTCATCGACAAACTTCCCGATGTGTTTCTTTATGCCCCATTTTTATGTCGTTTATGTTGAAATTTTGAACAGCAGGGGGCCCAACACTGACCCCTGTGGAACACCCCCTCCCTGACATTCCCCATCTGATTTCTCCCCCCTTTATTGCAAAAAAACTCTGCGCCTATTTTTCAACCCTGCCTTTTTCCAGGAAAAAAATTTTTCCCTTTTTCCATGTGCTTTTTAAATTTTTCCCCTTAGGTCTCGATGTGGGACCCCGTCAAAGCCTTTTTGAAGTCCTTTTAACCCTTTTTTATTCATTACCCGATTAAACCCCCTCCCAAAAAACCCTTAGTGGGAAAAAAAGTTAATTAAAATTTGTTTAAAGGGAGGGGAAAGCCCCTTTGTTTAAAACCCTGCTGGATTCGTTGATTAAAATTTATGCTTTTCAAGGTGGCTACGAAATGCCCCGCAATTTTTTGATTCCATTTAAATTTCCCCCTATGGAGGTTAGGTTATTTGGGCTATAGTTGAAGCTAAGGGCCTGTCCCCTGTTTTGGGAAAAAAGGGAAACACATTTGCCATTTTCCCAAATTTTCTGGCACCATGCCCCGTTTGTTGTTTATTTTGTTTGGGAAAAAAATTAGCCCCAAAAGGGGTGCTAAGTCCCCTTTAATTCCTTTAGAAAAACCCTTTCATACAGTTCATCAGGGCCCCCGGGGTTTGTTAGGTTTTAATTTAAACTATTTGCCCAAGGACCATGTCACTTTTGACCCCAATAGTGCACAGTTTATTAGGGCCGTTCTTCATAATTTATTTTACGGGGAAAATCGCCCGGTATCCTCCTGTGAAAAAAATGAGGGAAGTATGGTTTAAAAAAATTTTACACATTTCCTTTTTAAATGTCAGTGAGCTGGGGCCCGAGGAACTTTTTAAATGGGCCTTTTCTTTCCCCGATCTTAAATTCTGTATACCTAAGAATCCCTTTTTGGGGTTTTTTTTTCGATTCTCTTGCAACTTTAAATCATAAAACTTTTTTTTGCTTTTCAATTCCCTTTTTTATTTCTTTTTTAAATGAATATACGATTTCTCCCAAATTGGGCCCCTTCCTCTTTTTTTTGCCTTTTTATGGCCCCTTTTTGGCCATTTAGTTTTTTTAAAACTATTGTTTAACCTTTTTTGGATCATTTTTTTTTTGATCTGATTTCCTATTTGGGAAAAATTTAAAATTTTACTGGCAGCTAGAACCCATGCCCCGGAAAAAAAATCATTTTCGGCAACCCTCACCAAATTCCCGACCCCTTTGTCAGGTCATTTTCCGTTCAGCCCACCTAAATAATTTTTCGCCCATTTAAAAAAAGCCAAGCGAAAAATCAGGGACGGAGATCGATTCCATTTAAAAATTAGGGGAATTCCATGATATATTAAAACTGAGTGATTTGGTGATCACTTTTTCCCAAAAATCATCATTAACCTAAAAATTTTTAATTAGTTTTTTCCCCTTTTGGCCAAAAATTTTTAAGCAAGGGGGTTTTTCCCCTAGTTTTGGGTCTGTCCAAATGTTTTTAAAAAAAAAAAATCCCGGATCGTATCAAGAAAGTCAAACCCGACCCCTAAATTTTTCCCGTCAAAATTTCTCCCAAATCAATCTGGTTTTAGTTGAAATCTCCCATTAGCAAACTTTTTTTTTGTGATGCCTTTCGAATTTTGTCCCAAGGAAAAATTTTTCCCGCACTCCCTAAACAAGATTTGGGGGGGCCCCGTAAATCACACCCAAAATTAGTTTTTTTCGGCCCCCGAGAAGCTGTTTAACCCCCAAAAAGATTCAGGGATGACGCTTTTAATTTTAAAATCTTTTCTAACACAACAATTTAAATTGGGCTCTGACTACTTTGCCTTTTCCCCCCACCCTTTTTTCTTGACCCCGTCAGTGTTTGGGAAAAATTTATAGCCTTGTATGTGACATTCAGAGGGCATCTCTCTTTCTTTCAGATTTGGGGAGGTTCTGTTTTGCAATTTTTATCTTGTTTCCCGCACTTGCAATTTAAACTTTGCTCCTCTATCTTTTTTTCTTTCACTCCCGCTAAATTTGTATAGTAAACCTTAAGGGGGGTAGTCCCTTGCTGCCCTTGCTGTCCCCCTTTGTTTGTGACCGATCTATTGTCTTTTTTTATAACTTCATGCGAATGCCTTTTTTAATTTCTGTTTCCAACCCAGTGTTGCAACCTGCTTGTTTCCCAAACCCCATCCCCCTTATCTTCCTCATTTTAAAAATCTAGCATTTCACCAGGGCCTTTCATCGGTTGCAAGTGCTACCACCCAGCCCCGAGGATGTACCCCACCCCTTGCATATAATGTTTGCCATAAAAGTTTTTCCATTTGTCTGAATGGGATTGCAAGTTCTTGAGTATCTGTCTGCCACAATTTACACCAATTGCCCCTAGAAAAAACCTTTTATTTCCTACCCCCTTTTTGGCAAGTGCTAATATGATTGGGTCCCCCCCCTTGGGTTAATGAAATCTATGCTGACTGTACTTATCTAGCAGCTTTTTTCCCCCACCTTCCCCAATTATCATTTCCCACACTGAGCGGGAAAATGGGTTGCCCCCCCATTACCTGACATGAAATTATCCACCCGTTGACAAGTCCCCAACCCCGCTCCGGGAAGCACACTCTTCTTCATTTTCTTATTCCATTCAAAAAGAACGGTAAATGTTCTTACCTGAGAGTCACCAAACAAGAATGCGCTTACCTCCATTAGCGGGGCAGAGTCCTTACTTCACGGGCCCATAAAGTAATTTCCTGAAAAAACAGGAAAGGTTTCTCCTTCAGATCTTCACTCTTAACTTTCCTTAATTGATGCGCCTTCCTTTACTGTGAACTACTCGCCACTTGTGCAGGTGCTGGGCTGCACCTCACTGCTGGTAGCCGTTTGCTGCCTCCCCAACTACAGCCTCCTCACAGCGAGAGACAGACTGCACCTCGCTGCTAGAAGCCTCATTCCCCACAACTCCAGCCACCTCAACTCTCTCCAGACCCATTGAGGTGGACCTTCAGCCTCCTAATCTCCTCCTGGAGAAGCAAGACCTCCTCCTTTCAACTCTCCAACCTCAATTTTTAAAAACACTGCAGAAGCAAGCCATGCTTTGTAACCGTCCACATAATCCCCCAAAGCAGCTCAGGGTCTGTGACCTCACGTGACGACTGACCATGAGTACCCCGCCAGGAGGGAGATGTTCACTCTGTCAGACACTGCAACAAAAGGGTATCTTGGTACAGACCTGAAATCAACTTTGTCAACTTCTACTAGTGAGAATGGTGGATTTGAGGGGGGACCTGACCTTCCAACGACAACATTCTTACCTTTTACTAGTGGCCTACATCTCACCTCCTGGGGGTTTATATAAGCTCCATCCTGTCACTTCAACTCCATATTGTTTCAGACTATGGAACAATAATCTTCTCCAGACTGAGGGACTGACCACCTCAAAACTTCAAGGGTAAATAGACTGATTACATCGTCTTCAAGTATCTTCTGTTCTATCAACTTTTCTGTACTCGATGAAGAAGCTTACTGTGTAGGCGAAACGTTCGTTTCGAAATAAAGATACCTAACTGCTGCATATGTGTCTTTTGTGGAGGCGAAACGTTTCGGCAATAATAGTTGCCCAAGTGTTCAACATTAGTCTTATTTTTGATGAATGGTTTGAAAAACAGACAAGTTGAAGATTGGGGACACTTAGCACTTTATTCAGGAAACGTTTCCCCACACAGTGGCTTCATCAGCCCAATACAAAGCGAAGGTGAAAAGGAGAGGAGGAGTTTGAGGAAATTTCAGTCCCTCAGCCTGGAGTCGATGTGTTCAGTCCATCAACTTGTGAATGTACAGCATAGGGCCGTAGACGTGGCTTATATACTGTAGTGAGGTGAGGGGAAGCAGCGGAGGCGGGGTCATAGTGGTACCATCCTAGTCGAAGTAGGTCTTCGTCCTAAGGTTGAACAAGGTGAGGAATTTCTTTGTAACAAGATCCCATTGATTGCTGCAGTGTCTGACAGTTGTGATGAATGTCTTATTCATGAGGGTGAGGAGAGTAATTAAGTCTGTGGTGGGCGACACGTCTGTGGTGGGCGACACTTTCCCATTAATAAAGTTCCCTTTAAACTCGTGAACATTCAAATGGTATAAAAAAGCTTATACTCGTGTAAAAATCAGTTTTTTTATGCGTCTTGTTGGTCAGAAATAAAGTTTTGAATAAAATTAATGCAAATCTTTTATTATATTTCACCAAAACGAATAAAGTAGCCTAACGTAACGTAACGAAACGCAACGTAACGTAACGTAACGTAACGCGAAGTTAACGTAACGTAACGTAACCTAAAGTAATCTTGTTGTTACAGTGTGACTGGAAAACCACACGTGATGGAAACTGTCGTATATAGTAAAGATTGAGACACTTATGCAGCATATGGGAATCTTTATTCAGGAAACTTTCGCCACACAGTGGCTTCATCAGTCCGATACAAAGAGGAAGCCACTGTGTGGCAAAAACGTTTCCTGAATAAAGATTCCCATATGCTGCATAAGTGTCTCAATATTCACTTGTCGGTTTTCAAAACCATTCATCACATATCAGTAAAGATCCAATGAATTTCAAAATTAACTCAGTATACTTCAGCTTAATCTACCTTATCTACATCAAAACTTTTGCTGCTTCAGATTACTGGTTTTGTGTACTCAGCGATATGTAATCCATATAAATCTTTAAAAGGTCTTACCTTAGAGTCTGGTGAAGGGTAAAGTTGTTACGTTGAGAAGCCTCTGGAGCAGCCATGCTGTGCGGGTTAGCCATCAGAGACATGATAGAGTCAGTGTCGTGGGACACCACAGTGTTAGCGAAGTCCATCAGTGTATGATCTTCCACTGTGAACACAATAACGGACTCATTGTTGTGGGAAAATCGTAGTTGTAGATGGAATGGTTCAGAGAACCGACAATTAGACAAATGTGCAGCATTTGGGGTTTATCTTTAGAAATTCTCTTATTTACCCCTATTCCACCTATGGAATTTGTGCATGGGGCTCAACAACAATTAACCATCTCGGGACCAAAATTTTAACCAAAAAGGCTGCAGTTAGAATATAAATTCTCACTACAGGCAACACACTCCCCCAATATTCAAAACATCAACCTACTCACCATACAAAACATCCTCTTATTATTGCACCTATTACATACATAGAACACTTAACTCTGTTTATTAACCCTCCCCTCAAACATCTCCTTGCCAACCTCAACAGAACACATACCATAACACAAGGCACAGATCACTCTTTGATTTTCCCTCGTGTCCATCTCACACTATGCAAAAACTCAATGCACATAAAAGGCCCTAAAATCTGGATTCATTACCTGTAAATTAAAAAAAAACACTACCTGTTTATAAATTCAATTTCTCTTCTAAAAGATCACTTACTCCCCCAAAAACCAAATAAATACTGGAATAACTGAACCCTATAAATTGTATTTCTTAAATGTTTCTCAAAATTATATCACATAAATTTTAAAACCTAGGACCCAATCTAATTTTATTATTTTTTTAAATACACTACCTAACGGGAATACTCCATTCTACTGAATGTAAAAACAATGCATGCAACCATATGACCTGTCTTTGTAATACTCACTTGTGCTTTATAGTAATCTGTTTACATTAATGTTTTATCACTGATTTCAGCATTGCTTAGTTAATTTCTTAATTTAAATTTTAAGCCAGCCCGTAATGCTTGCATAGTATAGTGGCTTTGGCATGCTGCTCTTATCTGTATTTTTTGTACCTCTGTACGTTTGCCAAATTGTTAATAAAAAATAAATAAATAAAAAAGATACCCAAGTGTTGCAACATGGTCTAATTTTCATCATAGTTGTGCATGAACGGTATAAAATACCGACAAGTTGAAAAATTTAGACACATGTGCAACATCTTGGTATCTTTATTGTAGACGTTTCGCCATCCATTTGCTTTATAAATTTACAAATTCTAGGATATGATTAGAAGACAGAACTTATACAAAAGATGAGGCAATCTGTAGTCCAGAATATTCTAGACTACGGTGCTCTTAACACCAACTTAAAGGCTGAGGGACTGATTACCTCATCTTTCGTATATTCAAATTTCAAATTCAAATTCAAAGTTTATTCTCTATAAGGATTACAATGCTGGTTTACAGAAATTTGGTTTATTGTTTGGTTTACATGTAGTAAAATTGTGATTACAGAGTGTACCACTAGAACGCTTAGCATGGCTAGGCATTTCGGGCATACTTAGTTTTATTCTTAATTGTAAAATATTACAAATTATGAGGGAAGTTGGTTTTTATGGCTAAGTGACTAAATACTAGTTTGTGAGTTTAGCATTGTGAATGCTTTTGTTTTGGCACAGTATATAGTTTCAGTATTGGAGTATCAGGATTCATTATTTTAAGACTGAGATTAATATTTCTGTTTCTGTTTATGGTCAAATGAAATGAGCGAGTGTAAGTGTGAACCACCAGGTGGTATTCGTGTAGTTAGTTTTATGGGGTGTATCGGGAGATAAGATGTTTTCTAATGGTAGTTTTGAAGGTGATGAATGTGTCTGCAGTTCTAGAGTTCTCAGGTAGGGTATTCCAGATTTTTTGGGCCTTTGACATACATTGAATTTTTGTTAAAGGTTTAGTCGGACACGGGGAATGTCGTAGAGATGTTTGTTTCTGGTGTTATGCCTGTGGGTTCTGTCACAACTTTTCAAGAAAGCGTTTTAGGTCAAGGTTGATATTAGAGTTTATGGCCCTGTAGATATAGATTGCACAGTAGTTAAGTGTGGATGTACTGAACTGGGATAAGTTTAGATCTTTGAAGAGTGGGGGGGTGTGCTGCCAGGGATGGGATTTAGTGATTATTCTTACTGCAGCTTTTTGTTGGGTTATTATTGGCTTTAGTTGTGTTTGCTGCAGTTGATCCCCAAGCACAAATAGCATAGGTGAGGTATGGATAAATAAGTGAGTGGTATAGTGTGAGAAGGGCATTTTTGCGGCACGTAGTAAACGTATCTTGGGGGAGGATCCCAACCGTTTTGGATACTTTTTTTGGCTATATGCTGGAATGGGTGCTGAAATTCAGGTTTTTGTCAAGGTATAAGCCTAGGAAAATTTTCCCCATTATTTCTGGTAATTAGAGTGTTGTCAAAACTTTAAAGTTAATTTGTGCATCTCCTGCTCTGTACCAAACATAATATAGTAAGTTTTGTCAGTGTTAAGCGTAAGTTTATTGGCTGTCATCCAAGTCGATATTTTAATCAGCTCCTCGTTCACAATGGTGTTGAGGGTGGCAAGATTAGGGTGAGAGAAAGGGCATAGTCGTGCATCAGCAAAGAGAATTGGGTTTCAGGTGTTGGGATACGTTTGGAAGGTCATTGATGATTTTGAGGAAGACAGGGGACCCAAAGGGCACTTCCCCGCGGAACTCCAGTTTTCAAGTGGCCGTGTTGCTGATGCTTTTGTCTTTAATGGTGACGTATGATACCTATTAGTAATGTAAGATTTGAAATAAGCAAGCGCATGGCCTCTTATACCGTGTGGTCAAGTTTGTGGAGTAGGTTTCGTGGTTTACTGTGTTTAAAAACTTTTCTTAGGTCAATAAAAATTCCTAGTGGATATTCCTTATTTTCCAAGCTGTGGTAAAAACAGATCTAGCATTTTTATGATTTGCAATCATGTGCTTTTATTTTTCCTGAATCCAAACTGGCAGGGGTTGAGTATGTTTTTGAGCCGTTATAAATGAATACAGTCTCCTGTGCACGAGTTTCTCAAAGATTTTGGATAGCAATGGTAAGTTAGATATTGGCCTATAGTTTTTTAAGTCGTAGGGTCACCACCTTTATGTATTGGTGTAACCCTTGCCATCTTGAGTAGTTTTCGGGAAGGTGCTAGTCTCTATTGACTTGTTAAAAAGTAATGAATAGATGCGAAAGGACATGGGCCGCTCGCTTGTACAGTGATGGTGGGACATGAGGGCAGATTCCCCGAGTTATTTTTAAGTGGGCTTATGATCTCAATGACTTCCGTGGGCTCAGTTGGTTCAAAATAGAAGGAATTAGGGAAATTTCCATCTAGGTAGTCCCCGGCATGGGCATTGGTATGTGGGATTTTACTGGCGAGATTAGATCCTATTTTTTGAGAAGAAGTCGTTTTATCTTGTTAGCTGTGTCAGTGGGATGTTGTGGTGTTTCTTAGGTTTACCCAGGACAATATTCTTGGTTTTTTTTCAGTTTGTGGGTCCTAGAATCTGAGAGAGTGTTTTCCCGGTCTTTTTTATATCTCCTCTAGTGTCTGTGAATCTACTGGAGTAGTTAGTTGTTTGGCTTTTTTTATTACTTTTGGGGAGAGCTGATGAATGTGTTTAAGAGTACTTTGTGTATTAAGCCTGTCTATATTGCTTTTTTATATTGGGTGTTTCTTGTCAATGGATTTCAGGGAAAGGTGCTGGTTAGCCATGGGCAACCAAGCCGTTTGTTTGTGATATGTTTTGTTTTTATAGGACAAAGTTTGTTGTATAGTCTAAGTAATTTGTTAAGAAAGATGTCTGTCCAGTCATCAATACCATGGCCTTGGAGAATTCTGTAGGCCAATCAACAGTCTCTAGGTCAGCTGTGAATTCCTTACTGAGGCCTCGTCATGGAGTCTAAATGAGACTTTGTTGTATTCAAGTGGTGGTTTACTATTTTTTTGTCAGGAGGAAGGTTTGGGTAGTGGTCTGTAGTGCTATCTGTGATTATCCCTGATTTTTAAGGGGGGCTAGTATTATTGGTCCATATGTGGTCTATTATGGTTGCACTTGTCTTCAGTGAGCCCGGTTGGTTTAGTTATTGTTGGTATGAGAAGTGTGTTGTTTTATATTGTTGATGAAATCAGTTACAGGCTGATCATCAGTAAGCCAAGGTTGATGTTTGAAGTCTCCAGCTAAGAGAAGGTGGGGCTTATTCTTTGTCTGTTTGTTATTAGTGACTTTAATTTCTCACTGAAATTTGGGATGTTTGTGTGAGTATCCGGTAAATGGCACCGATTGTTATAGGCGTCTTAAGGTTTTTTTACAGTAAAATTAGCAAAAATGTATTCCCCATATTCATCACTAAAGCAAGTGGTGCTAAGACAAGATAATTGGTTAGAGTAATAGATTGCCCAAAACCCCCCCCAACTTGGGTTTGGGTTTTGCAGTTGTGATTGCTGTGTATCCTGTTGAGGGTAGATATCTATTGTGTCCTGCTTAAGGCAGGTCTCAGTAAGAAATAATGCAGGAGAAGGGTGTCTTTAGTGATTCAAGGAGTGCTAGGAGGTCATCATAGTGTTTGCTTAAGGACCTGATGTTGTAGTTAAGTACTGATAGACTTTTAGCATTGTTTTTGGATAGTGGTGGCTTGTGATGCTGTGTAATAAAGGCAGTTACTTTCCAATTTGGTTTGATTGGTTTTAGATTGTGGAGGTTTAGATCAGGGTCCAACGTGATCAATCATCTTCTAGGTTTAAATTATGGTTATTTATATCCTGAGTTGTGTGTTGAGTTCTAAATACTGATTCTGTAGTGGTTGGAAGTTTGGACAAGTATATAGCTAGAGTATTTTGGTCATGTAGGGTATAGTCACTACTACACATAATGAAGTTGATGTTGTCTGTGTGTTGTGCTGGAATGAACTAAAGTACAACTAGGTATAAACTAGTAATATAAAAATACAAATTAAAAATAGAACAAGACTCTCACTTGTAATTGCACTAAGGTCTAATAATGGGCTTTTGTGGAGTCTATGTTTTGAGCTAGAGTGAGCTAAAGTTACAATAGGTTTAATCTAATAATATAAAAGTACAAATTAAAAATAGCACTTCTCTC